TAGATCTGTCAGTTTCTACCGATTTCAATGTATACCTTGCAAAAAATGTGATAAGTTGACCTTTTCTTCTTATAACTATTGTAATATTTATATTAAAAAATATTGTGCAAGGGACAGTATCATCAAAAAAAACTTGAGAAGCTAAGCTAATTGTAGTATTCTTTTATTTTAGATAATAATACATTCATAAATAAGTTATAGTCTTTTGCAGAATTTTATTATAATATGTGCTTAGATATATTTGGCTATAATTTTTTGTATATATAGTAGAATACTATAGCAAAATACATATAGATTAAATAGTAGTTAACAGGTGTAGTCTTTTATAGAAATATATATAATAATTATAGCAGAAGACTATAATAAAAACACATATACTGAGAGATAGATAATATCAGATTTATTTATAGTTATATATAATATATTTCAGAATATGTGATCAGGTGTAATAATCTGTATAATATATTATAAGAAAAATAGTAGAACACTGTACTTTTTATGACATATTTTCAGATATATGATCAATATATAGTATAAATGTAGTAATCTGCATAATATATATATAAGAAAAATAGCAGAACACTATACTTTTCAATGTATGTGATCAGATATATTTTCAGAATAAGTAACATATATCTGCCTTCTCATATATATAGTTGAAGTTAACTCACTTTTTTTGTAATTTATAATAAACTTAATAGTAATTACATATTATAAATCACATATATTTTCAATAACATATATATAGCATACTCAATAATGTATATATAGTAAACTTGATAGCATATACTCTGGCTATATGCCTTTATAAATGATATATAAAATACAATTAGCCTATCAAACTCATGTCTAATAATATATCTATAGATTATGGTATACAATAATTCGTTATCAAATTTACAATTAGAGGATTTAGAACTTTATTTTTTGCTATGATAACTAAAGATATTAAGATAAAGATAATTAGTTTTAGAAAGTTAAAAAGCTAACTTTGGTTATATTTCTAGATAAAATTTTACTTTATCTAAAGCTCTAAATATTCAAAGAAAAAATTAAATGATTTAAACTTTTCTTTTGTTAGCCTTAATTTTAAACTTTGCAATTATAATATCATGCTTAACATTGACATTAACTAGATAATTTATATATATCTATATTACAAGATACGAATATTAAATAATAATTAATTTGATAACTGAAAAAGTGCAAATTGACATAACTTACATTCTCAATAGATAAAATTTTTACTTTAAATCTTGTGAAAAAATTATTTACAATCTCTGTACCATTTTCTTCAATTACCAAATTCTTCACAGTAATAATGATAGTTCAATCATCATTAGTAATATCAATTTATACTTAGTTTTTTTGTTGAAATTTTGGGATGTGTATTTTAACTATATAAAATCTATTGCAAAGAAATTTAGTTATATGTAATATCAAATGATACAAAATATTAACTAATATAAATCCTTTATTGTTATTATATAATACATATTAGAACTTATTTAGTAAAGATTGTTTTACAGACTTTGACTTATCTTTATTAGTTTATAAAGAAAAACTAGTCAATAATGTATCAAAAGAAAAGATTATAGACGAAAAAGATAAAAGATGTATCTTTGACCCTTATAAAATAGAGTTAAATAGAATATCAAAATATATATAATATAACCAGTTTATCTAAAGAAAACCTATGATAATATAATTAACCATTTTTTTGACTTAAAATACATTGCACTAAAAAATCTGATTATATAGTCATATGGTCCTATGAAGGTTTTATCTTTTATTTTATTGAAAAATCTTAATGCATTATAGTGTATACTAAAATGTACATGTTCCTATCTATTTGCTTGTTTCTTCAAGATATGTTCAAAGCATAGTGGAGTAGCTTTCTACAATCACAATTCCAATTTTTTGTATCATTAACCTTTAATTATTCCTGTTACAAGAACTGATAATTCTGACTTTCTGCAATATATTCACTTTTTATAAGGTGATAAATTTATAATAGTAAATAAATATTAAATATAATGTAGATTAATATATGTTATGCAGATAAGAGGTACTGCATACCTATGTATCAGATGATAGACCCTTATTTCTCAGAAGGTTAGTAACGTCATGCAAATAAAAATATTCATTTCAGAAAAACTGAAGGAAATTACACGTTTATTATATAAGATAACAGATCTTTATTTTTCAGAAAGTTGACAATTGATACTGTACGTTCATGTACTAGATGGCAGACCCTTATTTTTTAGAAAGTTAGTAATAGTTCTTTAAATTTTACAAACAAATACAATAAAAATCATACTATTTTTTATTTTATTATCATTCATAATTAGATACTAAATAAATATATAAACAGATTGGTTAGAAAAGCTTTTGATAAAAGAAGTAAATCTAGTAGGATAAATATTTTATATTATATTCAAGTTGTTTGATGCAATAAAGGAATAAAGATGTGATGTTAAAGTTAGAGAAATGTTTTAATTTGGAGATCGATTAAATTATACATCTATTTATTATGCAGATCTGATAATAATTTGTGACTTATCATTACTCTGACATATATGTGATCATATCATACCTTTAACAATAGAAATTCATTACTGTTATCATGTAGTCTGATGATAAAACTCATTACAGTCAACTCTTGATATAGCGAACTCTTGATATAACGAATTTTTTAAACAAATATAATAAAAATACTCTTGTTATAGCGAATTGGCCAATCAAATCTCTTAAAATCTTCACTATAGCCTTATAGCGAAGTTGAGGTCTAGGACATAGAGTTCGTTATAACAAGAGTTGACTGTACTGTCATTAACCTGATATAGTATATCGTATGTGGCATAATAACAAAAATTGGCTACCATTATCACCTGAATAAAAATAACTTAGACTAAGTGAAAATAACATAATTATGTTATTTCCACTTTTATACAAAAATATTTGTATGACATTAATCTTTGACAATCAATTTCTCTGTAATTAATAATCAGAATTTTATGATTTTAAACTTATTAGAATTATCTTATCAAGAAAAATTCAAATTCAAAATTAATTTAATATTTTTTATTGATTCAAACTAGTATAAACAAAGAATTACTTTTAAATTTAATCTAATAATAAGAATATGTAATTAATTTAACAGTAATATATAACTTAATCTAATATTTATAATTTTTATATTTTTAAATATATAATCAATTTTTTAAGATACAAATCTTTTTGCACTGAATCATATTAAACATTAAAACTTCATTTAAGAATAAAGTACAGTCAATTCTTGATATAGCGAACTCTTAATATAATGAATTTTTTGAACAAATATAATAAAAATACTCTTGTTATAGCAAATTAGCCAATTAATCTCTTAAAATCTTCACTATAGCCTTATAGTGAAGTTAAGATTTAGGATATAGAGTTCATTATAATGTTCTAAATGGTTTAGTTTAGTTCAGTTCAGTTTATAAATCTTAAAAATGCCAATCTAAAACTGAATCAAACTGTAAATTGGTAAAAATCTGAACTGAATCAAAATTTCAGATTAATCTGAAATTTTAGATCATTCCAATTAAACGATTCTTTTATCGTTCATTTGAAATGATAACTTCAATTGTTCTAAATAAACAATTCTTTTATCATTCTTTTAGAATAATAATTTAATTATTCCAATTGAATGATTTTCTTATCGTTCATTTAAAACTATAACTTTAATCATTCTAAATAAATGATTCTTTTATTATTCTTTTGGAATAATAATTTAATCATTTCAATTGAACGATTTTCTTATCGTTCATTTAGAACGATAATTTAATCATTCTAATTAAACGATTTTTTTATCATTCATTTGGAATGATAACTTTAATTGTTCTAAATGAATGATTCTTTTATTGTTTTTTTGAAATGATAACTTCAATCGTTCCAAATGAATGATTCTTTTATCATTCTTTTGAAACGATAATTTAATTGTTCTAATCAAATGATTCTTTTATCATTCTTTTAGAATGATAATTTAATCATTCATTTTGAACAATAATTTCATCATTTTAATTAAACAATCCTTTTATCATTTTAATCGAATGATTTTCTTATTGTTTATTTAGAATGATAATTTAATTGTTCTAATCAAATGATTTTCTTATCGTTTATTTAGAATGATAACTTCAATCATTCCAAATAAATGATCCTTTTATCATTCTTTTAGAATGATAATTTAATCATTTCAATTGAATGATTTTCTTATCATTCGTTTGAAATGATAACTTCAATCATTCCAAATAAACAATTCTTTTATCATTCTTTTAGAATGATAATTTAATCATTTCAATTGAACGATTTTCTTATCATTCATTTGAAATGATAACTTTATATCAAGAAGTCAAGTGACTTTTATACATTGCAATATATATTATTATTTAATAAATTAGCAATGTTCAATGGTGATTAAATTTTAATGTACATCATCTATCAATATTTTAGTAATATTTTAACTATAATGTATAACATTAAGCAATGTTTATTAATAATCATTATATCAATGTATAAGTAATGTATATTTTATATATAAATTATAAATTACCCTATAAGTTAAAACATAAAAATATTTACAAAATATTGTTGTTCTTTATAAATTATGATACTATATATACTGGCTTTACAACTGATTCTATGGGTATAAATTTGAATTGAGAAATTAGGATCAACTACAGATATTTATATTTATTTAACATGATAGTATTTTTGTAATTATACTACTACATAAGAGCCAAATTAAATTGCTTATTAAATGATAAAATCTTAATAAAACATAGCATCAATACCTAATGTTTCAAATATTAAATATAAGAATAATTAGAATATGTAATCATAATTCTTATTAAATATTAAAAAATAATACCTATTTTTCCAAAACATATTTTATCATTTGTAGTATATTTCTCAATTTCATCACTATACATATTAATTGAAATATTATCAAAAATTGCTTAATTATACCATTCAGAAATTGCTCTAATTGTGTCACTGCTAGATACTATAGCAGATTTATACCATTTCACAAATACATCTCTATTTCTCATTTCATTTTCTGTTAATTCTTCATAAAGATCAAAAAACCTATCCAATGCTGATAAAAATTGATTAAATACTTCTGATGTTTCTGACGCTAAACTATTGACAAATTTATAGGATTTAACAAATTCATCAAATAGTGATAATTTAAAGGTGGCAATTTCATCATTAATTATTGATGAAGGATCATATTTGAAATTTTTAGTAGTCAGTTTAAAAAATTGAAACAAATATTTAATTATATTCTATCATTGCATCTTAATTATAAATAAATTACATTAACATTATTAATAATATAATTATCATGATAAATTGATTTTACTTATAATGTATAACATTTGCAATATTGTGTTATGTTTATTGCTCATTCTGTAAGGATTTTTTACAAATTCCTTATGCAAAAATTCATATGTTTCTATTGTAAAGTTATTAATTACATTATATTCAGTGATTGCTGCTATAATGTGATAAATCCAATTGTGCAATTTTAGTAATTGCAATTGTGATGGTAAGTACAATGATAATAATTTTATAAATCCTTTAGCTCATTTGATGATAAGTGACTATAAATAGAATAAATGTTAATTTATATATATAATGTATATAAATATATATATTATTATAATATACACTGAATTTACTATACCTTAAACATCTTTAAATCTGATTCTGTAAATTCATCTTTATGGAAAAAGATGTACATTTTATTCCAATTAACATATAACTGAACTAATTTTTTATCCATACTCTTCGTCTGGTTTACAGTGTAATTAGAAGTGTGTAATAAAATAATAATGCTATTAATAATGAATACAAGTTGGCATATCATTGCCTGAAATTCTGCTGCTATAAAATGGTTAATATTATCCAGACCATATTTGAATAATTTAAGGTCCAGAAAGCAAGGTATCTTTCCCAGACGATTATTAAATTCAATTACACTATTCATATCACACTATTCTTTTAATAAATCTCATGTAAATTCGACTTGATACTTGTACAAACTAAGATCTAGATGATGCATCCTGTCTGGCAGACATATTTAATATACATTAAAATGTCTAAAATAATTATATTAATTATATTATAAATATATAGTATCTACTAGTAATTGTATTTAATTAATTTTAAAGGAAATACTTACGGTAATTTTTAGAATGGATTTTCAATACTCTGTAATGAATATACCACAGCAAGGCTCTCTTGCAATATACGCTACATCATTATCAGTATACGTAGTTAAATTGTTAAATGATCAATTAACAGGTTATTAAATTCACTTTTTAATATTATGCATGCATAATACAGCATATTGCAATTAGCAAAGTTATATGTCAATGTCATAGCATGCTGCTCAGGCAAGTCTCCAAGTATAATAGATAAAAATGAATAATACCATATTATACCATTATTTGTGAGTAAATTAAAATCTCCTGATTTAATTAGTTTAACAAGAATCTTCATTGAGCGATGAAAAAGGTAGTGTTTCACTAAGGTAAAGTTACGTTACTTTTTCTGTTTATCATATGCTTTGATTTTAGGTAAATATGCTAATAAAACTTTGCGCCTAGTTTATTATGACGCTAAAATAGTATATTACTTAAAGTTAAAATACAGAATATTTTAATGTCTTTCCAAGTGTATCACATGTCAATGCATTAGAATAAAGGATGACAGAAAGTATCTTAGCTCCTCTATTGATTAATAATTATGTATGACATCACTATTTACAATTGTATTACTCCCATAATATTTTTATTCTTTACCTTTATCATTAGTTATATATTTAAGTATATAATCGAATATACAATATTTGAATATTTCTTTATTACCTAGCAATTCTTTAATAGCATCAAAAACTATTTGATGGTAAAATGCATACTGAATTTGATCATATTCTATTACAATTGTTTTTTTATATAAAATATGAGGAATCTGCATTGAATCTAATAGCTTTCAGGTTGCTTTCATATTCGAAGGTAAAGTAGTTGTTGGATCCATGTGAAAATTATTGAATATACCAATAAAATTATTTGTCACAGAGTCAGAAAGGTGATATTTGACTATTAACTGTATAAATGCTTCGTATGCTAGATTCGGAAATGATAGTGATGCATTATTTATATCTTAAAATTTTTGGGCTGATCTAACATCTATAACAGTTGAAATAGATGAACTTTCATCTGTGAGAGATAACAAAGTATAGTTTTGTTCTTTATTTTCAGCATCTATTACATCTATTTTATTGTTTTCTTCTTCGTCATCATTGTTCATGTCACTTTCATTTATATTTTCATCAAGAATTAGTATGTTCTGTAATACAGAATGTGTTAGAAAATTAATTTGTATATTTGTATAACATTCATTTCATTTAAACCTATCAGACACATATTTCTTGTCATTTGTATTCAGATGTTATTCTTCGTATTCATCATTTATATCCTAAGACTGTTTTTCACATTGGCTTATAGTATCAGTATCATTAAATAATATAGGCAAAAGAACAGTTCTTTGAAGAGTATTTCTGACAATTAACTTATCGCGTGTTGGTTTATTTTCGTCTAAGTACATATAGTCTTGATGTATTCGAAGATGATTTTGAAAAGCATCATATCTACTAAATACTTGCAAATAGTATTTACATTGAAATATTTTACTATTTTCATGAACCAGAGCTCTTTTTTTATTCAATGTATTATGTGAAGATATTATTACAGCAATTTGTTGTATATTAAAACGAAGAGTTTGTAAAGTATGATTTTAAATAATACGTTTATATTATGATATTTAACTAATTTTGAACTATTAATAAATCAATTGAGTTAATTATTATCATATATAATGCCAAGTTAATTATTATTATTATCATGCATAGTGATGTTGAATTAATTATTATCATCATGCATGTGTTTCATTTTATTGCATCACATTTGATATAAATTTTATCGCAGTAACAATATTCATGATACTGCACATTATAAACCATTTATAATACGTATAAAAATTATTTCACATCACCCATAATATCAATCATATAATTTATTTAATATAATTTATTTTCTTTCTTTTATAAAAGCATCCTTTTTTTCTTTCATTTATAATACATCAACATATTAACATTTTTATTTTTATAAAATTGTTCCTTTCTGTCTTTTATTACATTGACTTTTCTTTTTATAAAATTTAACATTTTTTTTCTCTGATTCTGGTAAAAAAAAGAAGTCATATTTTATAAAAAAAAGAACATCTATCCAGAACATGGCATCGTCAACTCATAAGAAAATTGCATTATCTAATGATAAAACTCTAGATGATGTTAACGTGCAATCCTTGCGAATTGCGACAGTTAGACGGGGTGTTCGAGTGGTAATTCTTTTAAGTTTACGTAGT